CAAACCCCTACACCACCGCCAAAGTGAGAGGACGAATAGCCGACATTCGGGGATATGACCGGGTTGGTGGACTAACGGTATTTTACCTAAGAGAGTTGTCCAAAAACCATCATTCCAAACCAACCAAGAAGAGGTGTACGAACTGCACACACGCACACCTTCCTGGTTGTGGCAGTGGTCACCGGCTCCATTGTGCATCGGAGTGAATTGGACACTTTGGACTTGTGACCCCATCCAGAGAGCGTTTGATCCGATGACTGGACACCGGCCCCCAATGGACTGTGGACTCTGAGCTCCGTCCTGCTGTTCTGCAGGTCTGGCTTTCTAGCCAAAATCTTCGGGTGGGGATTGCGAGGTAGTCTCCCTTCCTCGGTCAGAACATACGGGAAGTAACATGCCCACACAACCAACGAACATATTTATAGATGCGATGGAAATGTTTGTGATAGCCAACAAAGAGTACTGGACAGATTTTTTGTTCATATGTTGTGGCACACTTGCCAGTTCTCTGTAATTGGTTAGGTGTTGAAATAATAATGAAATAAAAATCGCGTTTCAGCAAACTTCAATCGGCCGCAGCCCTCTCTCTAAATACTGGAAGTATCTTTGTTGTATATCCAATAAACAGGAGTATAACACTAACCATAGATTTATTTTATTACCATCATCATTTCCAGTTGGCACAATCCTTCATTTACTAGAAACGCTCAATGAATGAGACAAAGACAAACGTTCGCTTTCTTGCACAACACGTTTCACCTCCATTACCCCAAGAAAAAGCGGCAGCAGTCAAATCCACAGGACCACTTACCAAAATAGGTTTCAACATAAACTTGGTTATCCCCAACAGTTTCCGCAATGAACTCGAAAATTTCTGTCAACAGATTCAAACAGACAGTTGTCTGTTCTTTTCCGTCCGATACCTCGGCCAAACTGATTAATCCATTACATTTTTGACGGATGGTCACGCACAAATAATCACCAAATCGTTTGAGCCCGTCTTCGTGTTTACCGATCAGTGGGAAGATTTTGCAGAATCGTTCAATCACCGCGGTGTCACGCATTTTGGCAGCTTGATCGAACCGCTGTTCAGCGATCACAGCCAGCTGCTCACGACATTTATCCAGAATGCCCACGGAATTGCGTGTTTGAGTATCTACAAGATGAGACAGATGATGTACCCGGTTGTGTTTGTATTAACACGCATGAAGTATTGTTTTGATGATAATAAAGAAAAAGATTATCGAAAGAGGCAAGTTGGCTTCTTTTTAATAAGAATACATCATTGATTAAAATCTACAAACCCGAACCCGAGAAATTCAATCAATCTCCAAATCTGTAATGAACTTGAATTTATTACCGTTCAGTGAATTTTGCTAAATGTCCTCGTGTATTCCAATTACGAATAGATTGGACAATTTGTTGGGATTTGAGCTATTCGAGCATGAACACAATCCACGGTTATGTGAAGCATGCGTTCAACCAGCCCAGCCACGATGCCATACTGATAAGTTCAGAGTAAAAAGAAAACTTGACGTGTTGCATCCCTTTATTTTATCATATGATTCGGGCAATCAGATAATCAATCTAGGTTTTCAACAGGATAAGCCATATATACATATAATAACTAGTATGCGAATGACTGGACAAAAGTTCCCTGGAAGCACACGACCGGTTTCGCGGTTCTTGCCGCTGATCAGGCATGCGTATCCGGTAATCTTTTGTCAGTTCATTCATATACTTGTACCCAGGAAGTGTATTTTTGTCACAATAACAATAATAACGGCAACAATAACAATATATACCTTATAATAACCGGAAATACCGAATAAAACAAAAAGAACCTACAAAAATAGCACGAGGAATGAGGAGGCCAATGAATGTGATGGTGATTAGCGTACCGGATGTGATTTTCTCTGTCAGTTCAATAACATTTTTCTTCGTTTTGAGAAATGTGTTCACATATCCAGCTGCCTCCTCATATCGTTCCTCACGAAAAGCCACTTCGGCATTGGATGCGCATTGTTTCAGGTTTATGATATCGTCCAATTTGGAAACGCATTCCAGTACGCGATTCTAAATAGTCTATCAGGAAACGATCAGATTTGAACCTACTTTGACTAAGTCCAACTGTCGAATTTTCCCGCTCAGCTCCAGCGCTAGCTCGGATGCTTGACTCACCATCCGAGACAGATTTAGGGAATTGTTGTGAATTGCATGAAAATCAGGCCTATGCGAAGACAAATGATCGAGTCGAAAGAGCACATTTACAAGGAACAGCGCAACTCCGTCAGTCTCGCATCAAGTTCGCCCCGTTTGGCAGAAAGCGCCTTGATCTGAGCATCGATTGCAGTCTGGGAACATTTGAATGGATTGCTAAACAGGCAATACATACTTCGGCCGTTTCCACCTGTTCTGTCGCCTTCAGCACTGAGGCGAAATCAGCTATTTGTTCCACATTCACGTGTGACATTTCACCGCTAAAAAAGAATTTCACAGTTATTCAACAAGAACCAGATCCGTGTGTGCGATCATCGATCACGTAGTGCCGAATAGCACAGAACAATAACAAGTTTCAAGGACACACGACGGGGTGGAAACGAGCCAAAATTGTCGCGACATCGTATCACATGCGAATAATCTCATCACATTTATTCTATTATCTTGTTCATTTTGATAGTGCGATGAACACTGGAAGGAGTTAGTCCCACAGCCACCAAGACCTGATTGTCATTTAGGAGAACGAGGAACATTATCGTGATTTTACAGCGTAATAGTGAAGCGAACTTTACTGATCGCTGCCAAACTCATATTGCATACAAGGTAAGCGAGAAGGTATAAGGAGGATAGGGATTGGACTTAATTTTAGGGACGGGAAAAGAAAGCGAACCCCTATGATCAAAACACAGGTTACACAATCCAACTGTGCATACATAGGATTTCAAGCATACTGGTCTAACAAGAAGCGACAGAATGATCGCCATTGCTGTCGGTTCGCAGCCATGACCTTCAGTGTCTTCAACCATGCAGTTTCAAAGCATTTTGAACCCCAACCCAGAAGACGAGAGACACCTACTCTATCTAATCGCTCTGTGCATTTCTTCATGCCTCGTCTCCCCGTCATCTGCTGGCCTCCACGTGGTTTTCTCCAGCTTGTAACAACCACTGCGATAGGCACGCTGCGGTAGGCGACCGTCGGACATAAGCAAAACGTGTCCTAACCAACGGAGTCTATTTAGCTCAATTTGATGCGATAGTAAGTTCTTATTTGATTCATTTCCAAACATCCGACGACTTACTTCTAGGTTACTAACCCGCTCACTCCATCCCACTTGCGCCAGACCACGTGAGCATCGATTGTCAAAAACCACTAGGTGACGGATTTCTTCTACCCGCAAGTTCAAGGTCTCACAACCGTACAGCAGAACTGATCGTACAGTAGCGCAATATACGAGACTATTCAACTTCAATGAAACATCACGTCACCGCCACAGGTGTTTAAGTCCTGCGTACGCTGCTCGAGCCCTGGAAATGCGGGCGGTTATCTTCTTTGATGCGCTACCGTCGTTTGTCACGCAGTACGAGAAGCAGCCAACTTCAGCTAATTCCTGATCGTCTGGTTTCAGATTGGAACTCGGTGACACCGTCTTTTTTTATTACACAAGAAGTGATATACAGCAAAAGGGGTAAACCCCATAATCAAAGATATACTGTAAGAGGGAGGTATGTGGGGGAACATTCAAGTAAGAACCAATTTGTTAATCCTGCTTTTGAAAAGGGTGAGGTTATAAGAGCTCGGAAACACGAAAATGGGAAAAGTGTTCCACAATTTCGTAGTCCTCAGGAAAAAAAGGAGATTAAAAGATAGACGTTCGACATCTGGGGACAGAAACCTGATAAGGGAGACTGGTCGCCTGAGAACGAGATGGACGAGAGAAAGTCGATGGAAGGGGAACCGCTGAAGCGAGTTCAGAAGAGCAGAAACCAAAATAGCAACCATAGAAAAGAGATAACGAAGCAACTGCCCGGCGATGGGAAAGCGCCTTCAAAGTGGAAGTTAAAGACGGTTTGTCGATCAGCCGGATGGCCTTACGTTGAACACGGTCGAGGAGAAAAAGAGAGGAATACGAAGCCTCACTCCATACGTGACTGCAGTATTCCAGCATCGGGCGGATTTGAGCTTTGTATAAAAGAAGAAGGTGCTTGGGTGTAAAGAAACGCCTTGCGCGGAATATAAAACCAACTTTGCGCGCATCGCGAGAGGCAAGTGTAGAGATAAAAGGGGACCAACAGAGAGAAGAATTTATGGATAAACCCAGGAGGAAGAGAGAATTTCTGGAACGGAGGGACAGGGAATCGAAAATCAATTGAGGAGAAAAGGAGACATGTTTAAGAGAGACTGAGAGGATAGAAGTTTTGGAAGCATTGAAACACATGGTAGGTAGAACCCCTTGCGGAGATTAGTCCGAGATCGGAGGCAAGAGAAGAACTAACGATATTACGATCGTGATCGATGTTGATATTAGCTTGACAGATTTTGGGGTAATAAAGAGAAAAATGGAAAGTGGCATCATCGGCAAAGTAGTGGATAGGAATAGGTGTTTGGGATAAAAGACCGTAGATAAATAAGAGAGAGGGTGGGCGAAAGTATGGAACCTTGGGGAACCCCGGCGTTCATAGGAAATGGCCGAGATGGGACCCCATCTGCTCGGGCGGAGATGATTCGCCTGCTGAGCAAACAACGAATCCACGGATGGAATCCGAACGTGGGTAATTTCGACAGCTACCCTTCATGCTAAACGTGGTTGAAGGCCTTTGAAATGTCGAGCGAGACTGTGTTTCTCCGTGGTTATTGAGTGCAGTCGACCAGGAATGTAATGTGAGCTCTAGTAAGTCACCCGTAGATCGGCGAGGGCGAAATGCATACTGACGGTCATTTAACAAACCTTCCCGTTCGAGAAACGTACGTAGTTGGTCGAAGATAATAGTTTTAAACACTTTCGAGATTATATATGTAAGAGTAATGAGACGATAGTTGTTGGGGTCGGAAGGGTCGCTTTGAGATTAGAGAAATAATAGCATTTTTCCATGGAATAGAGAAAGATTTAAGTTAGAGTAAATAACAGAAAAGGCGGCGTAGAACAGGGGCTAACTCCGGGGCACATACTTTTAGGACGACAGATGGATTACCGTTCGGACCGGGTCGTTTATAAACATCCAAACCGCGAAGAGTTTGGCGGACCTTTCTGGTTGTTATGATAGGTAGAGAGGAGTGACTGGATGTATAGGAGGAGGGTTGAACAGTTGAGGAGGCAGATAAAGTGGAGTTGGAGGCAAACCAGAAAGCGAAGACCTCTGTTTTTTCGTGGGGATCACAGACAAGAGTACCAGAGGAATTGCAAATGGGAGGAAAGTTGGAAGGGCAGAAGTTACGTGAAACCGCTTTATCGAGGGACCAGAATGTTCGGGCTTTTTTATTAAACACCTGTGATTAGCAGTAGACGGGATAAAACCCATAGTCACAAGGACCTGCTGTTCAGTGGTTGAAATCGGCAACCTAAGCCCCGGAACTTGGAGTGGCGAACCACATAAGGCCCCGATAGGTTAGGCGTGGTATTGAACCGAACGACAGCAGAGCTGCCTACCACCAAAGTCGGGTGGCGGTGGCGGGGCTCGAACCTCGGACCATAGGGTCCAAAGCACGCCGGTGACAGCGACCAAACCCCTACACCACCACCACCCCAGTGACGGAAGAAGCCAAGCCAACAGCTGTGACAAATAAAGCGTTCTTTAGCTCTCTGAATAGTGACCGAGCATTTGTTTCTGGCTTGCACGAAGCGGTTGCGGGATGCTGGATTGGGTGAGTGGCTCCAACGACGGAATGCTAAGTTTTTTAAATGTACAGCACGATTGCAAGCATGATTAAACTATTCAGGGGATCGTGATTTGTCGGGTTCGGAGAAGTGTGGAATATAAAGATATATGCCTTGAAGAACAATCTCCATGAAATTTGAAACATGGTCCGATGAGCCTAATGGGGAAAGGGAATTGATGTTGGAGAAAGAAGAGGGAACGGATGTGAGAATGAGGTCAAGGGTGTGGGCACTTTGAAAGTGCAAAGCACATGCCCAACGGAGCGGCAGAACTTGCCAATCTGTCAAGTGCTCTTTGTGCATCCTCCATACATTCGAACAAGCAGACAAGGAACCTAAGTGGAGAACCACCTAAGGCCCCCACATATTGAGTGTTATCATGTAACAGAAAAACCCAACTGATCATACACCAAATCTTTTGTTATGGTTTAGTTTAGATGTGTCTTGAAGAATATTCTCGAATGGAAGTTTGATATATAGCACATTATCCGGTCATCTAAAGATGGCGTGACCAGACAAAGTGAACTTCGGGACACAACAAAAGTAATAACAATGGTCAGTTGGTTGTACAGTCTCTTGGTCGCCGTACGTTGTGCATGTTTGTTCGATATAAAACAAAAACAGTACCATCACAGCTCGTAGTGCATTTACACTAAGATACTGCATAAAAGTGGACGCCCTACAACAAAGGGGAATACATATGATGCGAAACAATCATCATCATCCTAAAGCGAAATACAGTGAATTGAACTTCAATGATCGCTGAAAAACTCGCAATGTATACAAGATAAATGTGAATAGTTAAGTTGGACAGGTGTTGGACCTACTTTGAGGGAGGGGAAGGAAGGTGAACCCCTCTGGTTAACACACAGTGCACAATCGACCTCTGCATACATACTGTCTCAAACATTCTGCCCTGATAAGAAATTACAAGAACGCCACTGCTGTCGGTTTGCAGCCATATCCTTCGACGTCTCCAACAAAAGGACTTGGAATAATGCATGGAGAGGCCGGCCTTGAAGCATACAGTGGGATGACGATTAAATTTACACAGAAAAGAGGCTGACGATTCGGACAATAACACTAGACTATCAGTATAGACGATGGCGTCAACTACACCACTGGGGTAGAGGGATAAATGGGTGCATCTGAAAGTTTTAGGATTTCGTCCACGCACATGAGAATAAGAGGGGAAGGGAAGCGGATCACCATGGTCGATGCCTCTTATAGGGAGGATCTGTGATCCTGTAGGAAGGAAACACGAAGTGAGACAATATAAGAAGCCTAGATATTCGAGAAACATCTGAGAGG